CATTTTTTTTAATTTTTTTTAATAGTTGAAAATTATTGTTATTGAAAAAAAATGAACTATTTATTTAAGTACTATTATATTTAAGGAAAAAAACTACCAATTAATATATTGCTTTGAGAGAAAAAAAAGGATAAACTCTGAAAGCTAACATACGGAACGAGGTACATAATTTTACTAGAATTTCCTCTTTAACTTCAAATTTAGGTTAATCACATTCATTTTGATACACATAATCAATTATGATTATTAGGCCAACACAATGCTTTATATCTCTATGGAATATGTGGTTTAAGCTTGGCGAATTAAAGGACTATCATATGCATATACAAGTAAATACTCCAGCTTGTAAAGCATCACTTTGCTTTGAGCTTGGCACATTGAAGCAAAAATGAATCCTTGTGCATCACATCAGGCTTTGTACTTTAAAAACACAAATTATAGCATAAGTCCTTCTAGAAATTCAAATTTGTGTAAACATATAGCAAATACAGTAACACTTTAATGCATTGAAGCATAAAATATATTGAAATAACTCTAGATTAGTGATCAACAATTTTTAATCTAAACCAATCCGACAAGTTGTGGATAGTAATTTTCTACTTTGAGTTAAGTAGTTAATTCTGGATTCTAGAAATAAAAATTAATTTTAAAATTTATTTTAGCACTATATAGCTATTTCTCCATCCATTTATAGCAACTTATCTTTTCTATACATTAGACAAAAGAATAAAATTCATTTATAAAATCTCCTAATTTTTACTCTCATATCTTCTCGCTATAATTTTTAGGATGATATTAGAGTTATTAAGGTTCTACTTCTTATAAGGTTGATGGATCGTTAAACATAAAGTCTCCTCTCCAAGCCAACAAATCCTGCACCAAAATAGAGTATCTATCTTCGTCCAACAAGAATTAAAAAAACTATATATATATATATATATATATATGAATTATCATCATCCTTAAAAGAAGACAGTAGCAAACTCCAATGCAGAAAATCAAGATCAAAGATATGAAAAAATTCATGATAAAAAAATTTAAAATTTCAAATAGAGGTAGCAACAAAGACAAATCACAACAACTCTTTCTCTCTCTCTCTAATTTTTATTTAAGCCATCAAACATTAGACAGAAAAAAAGAGCTAGCTATTCTCCCATCAAAAACTTATCATCGAGTATCACCTGAATAAGCTGAGTTGCCAAAAAAGGTAAATTATCATATGCCTTCTTTACCCCAAAAAAAAAGAAAAAAAAACCAGAGAAAAGTAAACTGCTTAGATAAATTAGGAGCATCAAATCATATCAGTAGGGACAATAATATCTTTTATAATTACAACCATAATACAAATTATAATCATTGAGGATGGGTTACTCTCAAAAGTGGTTGAAACAAATATTGTTACTCTCAAAAAATCCAATACTTAACTTTATGTTTCAAATACCTAATATAGATTGTGAACTTACTATCAATCAACAAACGCACTTAAGAAAAAAATAATAAGTTACTACTTTTCATCGAATATTTGTTACTCTAAGGACTTGAAACCATGGTAGGAGATTAGCAATGCAAAGCTATGTATAAGACCATAGCTTCTAAAAAAATGATCCCTCAAATAAGATGTGATATAAAATGATTGTCTATCCAGCAAAACTCTTAATTCAAATTACAAACATACATCTAATAATGATAGTAATGTCCAGCTTTAGCAAACTCACCTAGAACACCCAAATTTTACTTGGAAAACTAATTGATTCTCCATACACCAATAAAAATTTAAAGGACTCATAGTATGGCATTTGTTATCTAGCAAAAATACACAAATAGTTCATATCCCAATTAAACGTACAAATATTCCCAAGATTTCCCTTCAATCTATAGTGGAAGCAATTTTCCAGTAATCAACTACAAGTGCTTAAATCATAGGCCATGCACAACAAATATTAAGCCTAAATCATATCTGCAGACTCAATAGATGCTTGTTCAAAAAATAAATTCAGCCTGCAAATATATATGATAAAGAAAATAAAGATCAGATAAAACGATGCAGCCAAAAATGTTGATTTTTCCTTGGCCAGAAAAAAAAAAACTACATCAGGAATTCCTTAAAAACACTACATCAGGAATTCCTTAAAAACAGCAAAAATATATTCTGACTACTCTTCACATGATGATGATCTTCTGGGTTGTATTGACGACATTTCTCTTCCTCGCTTTACCTATAGACTTATATTAAATAAACTTGAAAGCATCTCCTCTACATTATGTGGTGGGAATTTTGCTTCTCCCAATTCAATAATACCATGGAAACACCCGCCTAATTCTCAACAATCAAACTAGAATGTAAATGTGGAATAATATATACAAAGTGAGACTCCTTGTTGATGATAACATCAATAGAATCATTTCAAACAGTAATGCCTCCATTTAGTGGGACCACTAGTTGAATAAGGCACTTTATACAAATAAATTCCTATTATTAACTATTGTCCCTCCATATTCAAGATCTTTTAGCTAATGTTGTTGTCAAAAACCCCTAAGCTCATTCATTCTACATTCTTGCAAGTCATTCATAGTTGATCATCTCCCATCAATTTGAATCTTATGAGGCCAATGACTTGTTAGCCTAAACTCTCACTTCTACTGGTGGGTTCTTCTTTAATTCTCTGACATCCCTTTTTTGAGCTGATCTAAGACATCGCATGGTATTTTTCAACAGTGAAATTCTAGTTTATTCGATAATATGCACTTGTTGAAATAAAATTCTAGTTTATTCGATAATATGCACTTGTCATGTTGAAGAATCTCAACTATGTTCTCTCCACCATTTTGATATAATGCAATCCAAAGAATGCCCTTAGCATCCAAATAAGATCATACCCTTGTGCTCAATTTATTCGGTAAAATTCAACCGCAACTATGGGTCACCCCTCTAGACATCTTCATAGAACTTTTTTTGTCCTACTGCTAGAAGGGACCCTGAATACTAAATTTCTCAATGGTCCCAGGATTTTACTTTCATACAATGTAATATGGGAGATCTGACTTGCTCTAAAACTGTACAAGTTATGACATCAAAAAAAATGCCAAAACCAACTTCAAACAACTACTCTATGAAATCCCTTCAGGTCACCCTATCCACAAGCCTAAATATTTATCAAACCTGATATTGCTACTTTTTGGACCCCCAAAACAGAAATCAAAACTATCTTTCAAAGAAGCTCAATCCCAACCAAGTAGAGTCCCCCTCCCCTTAAGTTTCCAAAAATTTAACATTAAAAAGTTTATCTCTAATTCTTCAGCCAATGGTAATGTGATTGATTAATTTGGGGCTAGATTGGTCACTTCATTGTTGACTTCACCTACATACAACAACCGGTTAACCATTAGTCTTAAGTCTGAATGTCTTTCAATTATTTTAAGCTTTGTTTCAAACTGAATGCACACCATATTCAAGTGTAATCAGGCTCTCTCTTCCTTATTATCTTGGTTCAGAAGGGTAGTGATGTGCCTAGTGACTTCACTTTGTCTTCAAACAACAAATCAACATTCACATGGTAAAAGGGCCCCACTAAAAAGTATGAAAAAAACAAAATCAACATTCACATCTCCATCAACCTTACCTTCAAACACATTTAGAAGGAAGCTAACTTGCTAGCAAACATGGTCTACTCCTCAAAACAATATTAAATATTCTCTCCTCTAGACTCTACTCTATCCCTGTATTAAAAATTATATATAGACTCTTCGTTCATGATACTAGAGAAAGACCTCTCATAATTCAGGTACTATTTAAAAATTAAAAATCCTTTTTATTTAAAACCATAAATATAACTTTTAATTAAAAAAATTTTGAAGACGGAAATGGAACGAGGAAGGAACAAATAGAGAATGAATCTTTCAAATAAGAAGCTTCTTTAAAACTTCACGGAAAGCTTATTTTTGTAACGTGTAGTGTGCAAATATGGAGGTTGTCATCCATACTTATAAGTACGCCTCGGCTCTTTAGGTTCGTCAACATAATTCAAGAATATTACTACAGCTTTTAAATTAAAAATAATTGCTAGAAGTTTCTAAGATATTCTTTCACATGCCTATGGGAGGACTTTTTTAAGTGTCATATAAATATTTTGAAAAAGCTCACATGCCTGAATACTAAGATGGGAAGACTTTTTTAAGTGTCATATAAATATTTTGAAAAAGGAGAATTATTTTCCAATAAGAACTTGGAAACATATATGTAAATTATAAACAGAAAATAAAATAATATTTTCAACATCATGTATTAAAACAGCTGTTTGAAATGAACTTGCATCAATTATAAAAACAAAAAAGAATATAACAAGTAAAAAAGATTTAGCGCATGCAGTAATGGAAAACAAAAGAATATCAGAGGAAAAAACAGGTTAAGAGTAAAGAAGATACTACAATATGCCATGCTCATTTTGGATGGATTTGCGCCTAGTTCAAACTAAAAACTGCAACGATAAAACAATTTAACAGGAGGAACTAATGAAAAATCGAATATCTGAATAAGGACAGAAATATATAACATCAGTAAAGATGAAATTTTAACACGCTGTGTATTTGGTCTATTGTAGACTAGCTCAAGACTTCAAGTACGTTTTATTGTCTATATAACAAAAAAAAGTCTTCTTGTTTCATAACAATTATTTCATATAAAGTACTTTTCTCGATTAAAAAGTTAATGTTAACACCCTAAAAAAGAAAAACTGATATAACCTGCAAGTTTGAGAATAAGCAAACAAATGCAGCCAACGTGAATGGGGCCTTGTAAAGGAAACATGAGAAAATTTTGTAGTAAAGCAAAAGGAGAGGAAACAAATCATCACAATGACGTTAAAATATAAAAATAAAATTCATCATTTGCCCTTTCTAGACAGCATTTCACTTATTATCTGAACAGATAAAAATTGATAAATCAGCAGTTTGCATTAAAATCATTCAAACTATACAAATATAATGCTAGTAATAATACATACCCCTCATTGACCAGGTTCCAAGCCAAATTCAGCAAAACAGTTTGTGATAGTCCTAACTTCTTAACAATATCAGTAAGAGGAACGTAGGGATGTTCCACCTTGAGTTCAAAATTTAGAGTTGTTAGAATCAATTGCTCAGCTTCAACAACTCGGTCTCGGTATAGCTCAAACCAGTCCTGCTATAAACAAAGCAGATAATGTGTCAGCAAGCATGCAGTTCCAACTGACCAACAACAACAACAAGTCTTTATCTCACTGAGTGGGGTCGGCTACATGAATCTTTTTTCTCCATTGCATCTTATTGAGTGTCATATTCTCATTTAATTCTAATAAATTTAGATCATTTTTTATACGCCCAAGTCTTTTTAGATCTACCTTTGCCTTTACTAACATAAGTTGAATCTAAAGCATCTACTTTCCTAACCGGATCATCAGATGATCGACATTTAACGTTTAATTTGCCAAAATCATCTAAAACAACTCTCTCTAGTCATCTCCGCCGCTGGAGCTACACCAACCCTATCACGGATATATTAATTCGCATTTTGTCTCTAAGCGTCAAGCCACTCATCCACCTATGCATTCTCATCTCACAAGACTTAACTTTGTTTTATGCTTCTCTTTTAAAAGCCAACATTTTACGCCATAGAGCATTGCAGGTCTCACCACCATCTTATAAGATTTTCCTTCAAGTCTAAGGGTACTTTTCTTTCACACGATAGGCCCAATGCATTCCTCCACTTCAGCCAACTAAAAGTCTAAGGGTACTTTTCTTTCACACAATAGGCCCAATGCATTCCTCCACTTCAGCCAACTAACTTGAATTCTACTAATAACATCCCCATCTATATCACTGTCACTTTGAACAATAGGCCCGAGATATCTAAAACGTCCACATCTTTTAATGATTATAAAATTATTTTTTTACAGATAGATAAACAGTTGTGCATAAAAATGAAAACCTAACAGCCCATATGCAAATATAAGAAGCATTTATAATTGACTCTTATGCTAGCAAAAATTTTATGATTTTTCAACTGTTAAGGTAAGCTCCAACAATTGCATAAAATATGTGTTGGTTTCCATGGCTTTCAGAGTACTTACAGCATACAACAAATGTGGAAAGAAAGCAAAATTATGTTTCTGACAAATTTCAAAGGAGGCGCTGAGCACAGAATTCAATAGGCATGGTGTTTCTTCAGACTTTGTAGCTAAGAAAAGTGCTGCTGTAGCTATTAACTGCATAAAATAGATAATATCAAATTATAAAATATCAATCAAATTGAGAAAAGATGCTGTCGAGTTAAAATAAAAGAGACGAGGCATAATCCCATCAAAAAGTTAAACAAAAAAAGGAAAACAATCCTCTAATCTAAATAATCAGAAAACAGAAATTCCTCTCAGAAATCAAAGCAGCATGCAAAATTTTCTATGGAAAGCCAAGATGCATGCATACTATTATTGCATCATCAGCTTATCCCGAATTTCACAGAACAGCTAAAAAAATATGAACCCAGCAGCAATTGAAATCCGTGTTATACATTCTAGATAAAAATTGTTTTACACTTATTTCCATGGGATGAACATCATTTTACGGGCTAATGACTTCGCGTAAAACACAAGTATAAGGATTGAAACCAATGTTACAAGTTGCTAAGATATTCTGACTTGTGCGTTTTTTAGTCATTTTAATAGCCTGGAATTTCTCTTGCTGTTTAAAGCATAAAAAGACACCCTTATTATAACTCTTTGATTGATTCTAAGTTTTCTTTTTTAACATGTTCACTCCTCGTTACTGTCCCTTTAATAAATAGCATGCAGCAATTCATACTTGTGGGGTTAATTATCATATTTCTATGGACATGGTAATAAGCCAGAAACTGTGCTATTATTTTTATTCAAACTATAAATGAAATTTTGTGAATTATTAACAATATATAAGTGGAATCTAATTTTTTTAAACTTGATAAATGCTAGTTATGATATGATATATCATTTTGATAACTATTTCAAAACATGTATTAAAAAAACTCTCGAAGTAGGGTAGATTGTGGTGTGGTTGTCAATATCGAAAATTATGCAGCAAAAAGGCCCGTTAAACATTTTAACATATCCGAGTTGATTATGTGGAAACTGCCTTTAAAATTTGCCCATAGCAACTTTACTGTAACATGATAAATAAGAAACCATCTTCGCATACAAATGTCAGATATTATAAAAACAATAATTTAAATTCACAGTAGCATCAAGTTACAACTTAAATGCATTTGTTAATTTATCGCAAAGCATGAGCTAGACAAACTAAAGAAATAAAGATATCAATGGTTGTTGGCATGGCTGCCTGCAATACCATCGAGCTAGCAGTTATCTAGACAAAACGGAATGGTTCAATAAACTCACAAATCTATCATTAGAAGCATGAGATCGACGAAGAAAGAAGCGGTGGCAAAGCACCACGGCAGTACCAACCGTCGTCTGAGGCCTACAGACAAGACCCAATCTATCATGAGAATTTCAATCATAAAACAAATCTAGGTGAACCAAAAGCCGAAAACATTTCAACAGCTTACAGATCTAGTCTCATCCCAAGGCTCTGAAGATAAGCACAATAGGAGTAACGAAGGCGCGTCTCCATGTATCTATCAATACCATCCTTCCTCGATGGCGAGCATCTCTCGATCTCATCCCGCGACATGACGGGCATTTCATCCACTTCCGATTGCCTCTGAGCAGATACGCAGCCTGGACCGGTGGGATCGTCGTGCGGCATAGGAAGCTGTGACGTCGCGAAGGTTTTGCCTCCAGGTTTCGAGTACCGGGGCCAGCTCCAGCTGACTTCTGACGAGGGAGCGGCCAGCTTCCTCCTCTTCGCCAAAGGAGCAATATCATCGTCACCGGCGGCATCGTAGCGATGCTGATGCTTCCAGGTATGAACTGGATAAGAGGTTGCAGCGCCGACGCCCGCCGCAACGGCGCGGGATTGATGATGAGCCCTAGATATGGGCATGGAAAGAAGATCGGACGATGGGTTTGAATGGGGGATTGCGAGTTTTGCACTTGTTGCAGAAAGATAGGGAATGACTAGATTAGACGGATTGAAGAACGAGATTGACAAGGTCTTCGGCCAGGGTATGAGTGGCGGGCGATGATATGGATACGGTAAGTGTATATATTATATATGTGTATATTGATTTCTATAAACTCTCCTACTTGAAGATTATTGTGAAATTTGCATCTAAAATTTTGATTTCAATAAAACTATCTAGATGAAGAGTTAAATGTTAAGATTTTTTTTTAATAAATTTCACAAAATTTTTATGTATTTAAATATCTAAAATTTAAAGTTTAATGTTTATATTTATAATGTTGTACTCTCATAAATATATGCATGTATTGAACACTTTTAGGACTTGTGGTCATGTATTGTTCGAGAGTTCATATATTCCGTGTAAAATTTTGTTTTAGAATGAAGGTATAAAAGAAGGTGTTGAATGTGTTGTTGGAGCTTGAGTTTTTATACTCTTCTTTGAATCTTCTAAGGAAAGTATTCTTTGAGAGATGAAGCTTTTTATGTGAAGGAAAAGAAGGGCCTCCTTCGCTACTCTCTAGTCCCGCCTTCCCTCATTTTAAGGGGTCTCAAAATATCTCCAATTCCTTATTTCTCCTAATCCATGCTTAATCCTTGTTAACCTGCGTTAATGGCATAAATTAGGAATAGACGGTGTGCGAACCAGACAAATCAGTGTGGCCACGCCTACCTCAAAGGAATCGCAGATGGAGGGTCGGCTTGGTCACACCCGAAAACCCGCGCAATTACGTCGGGCTCTCTATTTGGGTAGCGTGACCACGCCGCCCTTGGGTGTGGTCACGCTAGTTGAGGGCCTTTGGGTGCTTCCTGAGGGTTTAGATGTGCTCATGCCCGAGTTCGGGTGTGGCTACATCAGCAACTTTGCATGACCACGCCCATTCTGGCACGACTATATTGGGTCCCACTACGCTTCAATCTACAAAAAGTTCATCGAGGGGGTTTTCGAGCATCATTGGAACTCTGGAGGACCGAATATGAGTAGGACGTGATTCTTGAACATTCGCAAAGGTCCTAATTGCGTCCCAAGAGCTTGAGAGGATGCTTCATGTGTGTGTCACTGAGTAAATGATTCCAAAGTGAAATCCAACTGTCCACACCTTATGCTTAGGACACAAAATGTGTGGATTAATTTTGTCGACGATCTATGTCGCAAGAATATCTGCATCAGAATGACACAACCTCATGACACAAGAACAAACTTCAATACGAATGACACCAAAAGTGATGCTAACTTGGTGACGATCTCCTCAAAAACACCACAATGGTGGGGCATACCACAACTATTATGTCTGAAGCGTTTATTTGAAAGCCTTATGGGCTCCTCGAGTCATGGTAAGCCATGTATGATCTTAATACGGTCCTTTATCATCAAAAGAAAGTCCCATATATTTCGCATAAAAAATGGATCCCAACATTGGAAAATACTGGAAAAGAGAAAGAATCACGAGGCTTAGCCCAGATGAAACGATCCAGTATGTAATTTTCAATACATGAGTCAACACTTCTCTTCAATTAGGGAAGATAGAGTTATAGGCTACAAGGGTCGTCCGATCAAGAATGTTTTGGATTCTTATCTTATTTGCAATTTGGAGACTTTATAAATAGAACCTCAAAACCCTCATTAAAAGGGACCTAAAGTTGGGTTTAAGAGCAAATCCAGAGTTTGTAGGAGGGTGAGTTGCTGCCTGACATCCTACTCTACATATTCAACCAACTTCGCTTGCTGCCACAACCTCGGGTCGCCGCTGCTTCAGGTTGTCGCCACTTCTGACCATTGCGCTGCACTTGACCACCACTACCTCCTCAAGCCACCTTCACTGCCACCTCTTAGGTTGTCGCCGCTTTTTTCCACCTCATCTACCTCTTACGGATGTCTCATTAGGTCGCCTTTGCCCCGCCTCTTTCGATCATCACCTCAGACCACCACCTCTTTTGGTCGTCATCTCCTTTGGTCAGTATCACTGCCCTTTGCCTCCACCGCCTCTTACGTTCACTATCATTTTGGGTTGTTGTAGCAGCAATTCCTCCTACACACTTACATTGTATCCCTTCCACTTGTGGGACAAAAGGATATACATATAATCACTATCTAAGGCTTACATGGTTCATAGCTCATGCAACTCTTAACTATGGCCTTTGCGGCCTACGCCTGCCTTCACGACTCAACTCTATAACCAACTTGACCAACTACAACTTGCGGGCTTCATAGCTCGTGCAGATTCTGAATCTGGCGCCCATGACCTGCGAACGTCATCGTGGCTTGCCCCTATGGCCTATGGTCTACATGGTTTATAGCTCGCACATCTCCTGAATCCAACCCTCGCGTCCTACAGACATCGTCACAGCTCGTAACCAGGCCTACATGGTTCATTGCTCGTGCAGTTCCCAACTCCGGGCCCTCGCGGCTTACAAACATCATCACAACTTGCCCACTACGACCTACGTGACCAACTATATTGCAGTGGATCATAGCTCTTGCACTTGTGAACGTCATCATATCTCTCCATGATGGCTTGCGTTGTTTATAGCTTGTGCAATTTCTGACTTCGACCCCAGTAGCCTACGGACATCGTCAAAACTCACCACTATGACATACGTGGTTCCTAGCTGGTGTAATTCCCAAATCTGGGCCCTACGACATACATATGTTATCACTTCTCGCCACTATAACTTATATGATCAACTATCATCTACGTGGTTCATAGCTCGTGCAACTCCCAACTCTGATCCCACAACCTATGAACATCGTCACAGCTCGCAACTACGACCCGTGATCTATATGGTTCATAACTCATGCAGCTCCTGACTCCGTCCCTCGATGCCCAAGGATGTTGTCACAGCTCGCTACTTTGATCTACATGACAAACTACGACCTACATGGTTCATGGCTTGTGTAGTTCACAACTCTTGTCCTCACGGCTTCTGAATGTCACCAGAGCTCGCCAATACGACCTACGTGATTCATAGCTCACGTAGCTTTCAACTTCGACCCTCGCAGCTTACGAACTTCGTCGTAGCTCACTACTATAGCTCATGTGACCAACTATGACCTACATGACATACAACCTTTGTAGCTTCCTAATACGGCCTCAGTAGCAAAACGAAGCTCTTGAAAAGGTCATATGCATTTCACATGGCCAACTTCGATCGTGAATTTCAACTATTGCTTATAGGACAAGCTTATGCTGTAACTAACGTCTACAACATCTACAGTAGACTACCGTCTTCATAATAACTGACTACGACCCCTGCTGCCAATTTTTTCATCGAGAACTACATCATTTCAACTAGACTATGGATATTATCGTCAAACTAGTATTATACACTTACAATGACTGTCTTCATAACTCAATCTTCCCTAATTCAAGAGAAGAGTTGACCTATACACTCAAAATTAATATAGTTGGTAATTTCATTTGGGTTATACCCAGTGATTTTTTTATTTTTTTAGGATTTTTCACGTAAAAAACTTATGGTTTTGCTTCTAGTTGCTTAATTCTATATGAGCGTGTGTTGGATTTCCATGCATTTTTTACAAAGTTATCGTGTGGTTATTACTCTGCCGCTGTGAACTTTTTAGCACACATTAGATATTATGATAATATCAAATTTTTATTTGCCATATGCTAGTTTGTTAAATATTAAATGTTTTAATAAATCAAGCATTTTTAAAGATCATTACATTATAATAATCCGATAAACTGTTCTCATTATAAGTTATTGATTAAATAATTATAAACATTTATTATGACAACAAGATATTAAACTTAGTTGAACAACAATTAACTTTAAAATAATTTATCTTAATATAAATTTAAATAATAAAAAATTATTATATAAAATTTTAAGGCATTTGAACAAAAAAAAAATTAAAAATGGTTAAAATAAGTAATATGATATAATAGTCAATAATTTTGCATGAGATGTTTTAAGAGTTGCAATCAACCACCATCATTCATATGAATTACATTTTTAACAAAATTTACAATTAAAAGCAACTGTTGCAAGTGATGAAAACACATTAATAACAATAATACACTATTCTAAGTTTTCATAGGCATAAATTAAGCACTATGAAGTATACTTAAAATCAATACATTAATATTGATGAGAAAACTTCAAGATATCAAGTTTGCCTATTTTTAATATTGTAAAGGCATAATAATGCAAAACAAATGTTGAATGATTAAAGGGATTAGCTAAGATTATTGGATACTTTTATAAGTGATTTTGGTTGAACATGCAAATATAGAAAATTTAGAGCTCCTACTAGCATTAGCAATGCCTAATGGAAGTTACCATCTTTTTTTTTTTTTTAAGTTCGATGAGTTTCGAGCATCGAGCCTTTTGATCTAGGAGGTGATGCCTAACCATTAGGCCATAATTTCATTTGTATTTAATTTTTGCATGAAGGGCAATATGTGTGATTTGAACTCACTCCCTCATAGTGATAGACAATGATAACATTCATGATGACACAGATAAGTGCACTCTATATGTGTGTTTTTTGCGGTTGTAGCTGTACGAAATATCAGTTCAAAAGCTGCTGTGAAGAATGTAATGTTCAAATGCTGAAATTTAGAAGTAGTTGGTTTGTTCGAAAAGTTCAGTTTTGAAAGTGCTCTGCGGATAAATGTATGAAATACCATCGTGTTCATGTTATATAACTTTCTTTATTCACTTAATCCTGTTAGAAAGAAAGTTCATTGATTCTAATATATTTTTACAGTCTTATATAAAATTTTGATCTAATTGTCGTGTGTGTATGTATTATGAGTTTTGTAAATAATCAAGGGAATGTTTAATAACAAAAATATTGTGGTATGCGTGTAATTAACATGACTTAACGAATTACAACAAAAACAGGAATTTGGACAACAAACAAAATTGGAATTTGTGGAATTCAAAATTGCAGACTCGCGAAACACAATGAGGGAGTAGCTTCCACAAATTCATAAATTTATGCGGTGCGGAGAACTCATCGTTTGCTTTAAATGTGCAACCGAACAATTGATACAGACGTTTGGGCTCAAAATGCAATTTAATAAGCTAAAGCAAACAAACCCTGCGACGTTTGGGTAAGTGTGCTGATTTTGGCTTGTTTGGCGCGACATTCTCTCCACGGTGCCGCGGGAAGCCGCAAAAAAGATTTGTTTGGCGCAACGTTTCACTCGCGGAAGTCGAGAATTTGAGCAAAACGCGGGTTGAGGGTGAGACCCACGACATGCGCTTCCCCTATGATTTTTTACTCCCATACCCCTCAATTCGACCCCACCTTCATTACTTCTTCATTCATTATTTCTCCCTCATTCTTTACCTACCCCGTCGAGTGCGACCTTCCTCTGCCCTAACTTGTCGTTCCAAACATCATCTCCTTCCAAGATAACTATTCTCAACCTGCATTTTCTTTGAGAAATCTTTCGTTTATCCTGGATTTGTATCGTGAAGATTTGTTGTGTGTAATTGGTTTGATACTTGTTTGTGTTGGTAGATTTGGTTCTGTTTATCTCTGTTTAAGAATGTTCATACAAACCTAAATACAAATGTAATGCTTAGCACTAGAAATGTGTTGGTGAACTAGATCAGCTAAGAAATCTTATTGTGATGCGTAGCAACGATGCGTAGGGGGCATATAGTAAGAAAATAGTGTAAGAAGGGGCAACAAACCTTCATTGCCATCATTTTTATTCTCACAGCCATAAAACAAATGTAGTTCATTTTCTCTTTGAGAATGCTGATGCAAACAACATTTTTTTTTTCAAAACTTCTGCCAAAGCATCTCTCAATAATACACTCACCCCCAATGAGCAGTGAAATAAATAGCTTCGAAAATAGTTTCATGTCATACTATGCATAGATATTGATATCCCTTTGGGTCATATAACAACTAATTCATCAACACTTTAGGTACTTACTGTTAAGTGAGTTGTGCATATGAATTTTTATTCTATTTTGAAATGAATTTTTGCTTATGAAATATCAAATACTCATCAACACTTTAGGTACTTACTGTTAAGTGAGTCGTGCATCTGAATTTTTGTTCTATTTTGAAATGAATTTTTGCTTATGAAGTATCAAATATGTGACTGTCATAGTTCAATTTTAAACTACTGTACTAAACAAGGGCAAAATGATAATTTTTTAAAAAATAACTGATGCACAGTTGTGTGAACTATTTTCATACAACTGCAACAAATAAGTATACTTTCCTGGAGTAGTTTCTTAAGAGAATACAGTTGCGGTTGAAAATAAAATTTGGAAAACAGTGAGAGTTTGCATAAACATCCAAAATATTTTTATGTATATTTTGGTTTATAAAAATTATGTAAACCCTCGTACTAAACAAGGGCAAAATGATAATTTTTTCAAAAATAACTGATGCACAGCTGTGTGAACTATTTTCATACAATTGCAAAAAATAAGTATTCAACTTTCCTGGAGTAGTTTCTTAAGAGAATGCTGTTGCAGTTGAAAATAAAATTTGGAAAACAGTGTGAGTTTGCATAAACATCCAAAATTTTTTGATGTATATTTTGGTTTATAAAAATTATGTAAACCCTAAACCTCGTGACTTGTTAAATAACTTACCTTTTTTTTTCGCATACCTGATTCGAAGCCGGCGATGGCCTTTGCTCAGAGGCAGCTATTGAGCTCCGCGCTATCACCGGCGGCACCTCCTCGCCGTCGGCGAGCGGTTTCTAACGCAGCATCGTCCTCTTACATTGCTGATCAAAACAGATCTCCTTCTCAAATCACTCCATCTAAGGAATCCACCGAGTGGAACCGGAAGAAAGTGTTCCTGTCCACTGCCACTTTTTCTGCCTCAGCGGCTGGTGGGGGATTTCTTTTCAGTTTCTTATCAACTCCGCCTCCAGGAAACACTGGAGGCGGCGGGGGGAGTGGCTGGGGGGGGGGGGGGGGGGGGGGGGGGAGGTGGGGGCGGTGGCAATGGTGATGGCGGAGGATTCTGGTCCAGATTATTTTCTGCTTTCTCTCCCCCTGCACACGCGGAGGAGGAGAAGGTGGAGACAGGTGCGGGGCCGGAGTGGGACTCCCATGGCTTGCCGGCCAACATCGTGGTTCAGATTACCAAGCTTAGCGGGCTGAAGAGGTATAAGATATCGGACATCGTCTTTCTAGACCGCCGACGGGGCTCTACTATCTCTAGTTCCGTGGATTCGTTGTTTGAAATGGTATCTCTCCGTGCTGGCGGTGTCTACAGCAAGGCTCAGCTCCAGGCTGAGCTGGAAACTCTGGCCTCCTGCGGCATGTTCGAGAAGGTCGACCTAGAGGCGAAAACTAAGCCAGACGGGACGCTCTCTCTAGTTGTCTCCTTCATGGAGAGTACCTGGCAGTCCGCGGACTCGTTTAGGTGCATTAACGTTGGTCTATTGCCTCAGACAAAACAGCCGGATATGGATCCAGACATGACTGATAGGGAGAAGCTTGCATATTTCAAGAGCATGGAAAGGGACTATCGGAGGAGAATTGAGCGCTCCCGGCCATGCCTGCTACCAGTTTCAGTGTACAAGGAGGTGATGGAGATGCTGCGTAATCAAGGGAAGGTGAGTGCTAGGTTGCTGCAGAAAATTAGGGACAGGGTGCAGAGGTGGTACCATGATGAGGGGTATGCATGCGCTCAGGTGGTCAATTTTGGTAATTTGAACACCAAAGAGGTTGTCTGTGAAGTCGTGGAGGGGGATATAACTCAGCTTTCCATCCAATTTCAAGATAAACTTGGAAATGTCTGTGAAGGGAACACCCAGCTTCCTGTGATCCGTAGAGAGCTGCCCACGCAGGTAAATTCTTTTTTATCTAAGCAAATGCATGGTCCGGTAAAATATGGTTTTTTTGTTTTTTCCCCCTTGCAACGAAAGTATTTATTTGATAGTTTGATGTTTCTTTCTCGACTATATTTGTGGAGTAGAGGTTTGCAATCTGTTTAATTTCTGAGTTCGATAACAAAAAAGATTATTGCTAGTAATTACCTTTTGTGATTTTTCTTTAGTTTAAGTACTCAGTTATTATTCTTTATTAATCATTACAGAAAATAGCGAGTAATAGTGGTTCTTAAGAATGAGTATCGGAAAGTTTGAGCATTCACTGGTTTAGTTCATCTTACTATACTTTTTCTCCACACATATGCAGTGAAATTTGAATATCATGAGCATAAAATGCTTCATATCATTGAGAAGAAATGTGAGTCTTGCTTTAGGGGATACATCTAGCCTTAAAATTTTGACATGAATATTGTGACTAATAGGTAATCATTCTGTTTCTTTTGTTTGCTGGCAATAAAAACAACAACTAGTACCCATTCATAACTGATGTGAGGTTTTTCAAAGGAAAAATAGGAGCTGCTGCCTTATTCTGGAACCTTTAAGTAGATATGTTGTACATATGGCTGTCTTCTACGTCATTCACAATTGCACTAAACTGGCAGATGATTCTTATAAGATATAGTTTAAGCACTGTAGATCTCATTTAGATTGGGATATTTACCATATTTTAGTTGGTGTACAAAGCTTCTTCAAATAGGCTAAAACATCGGGCTTATGTACATCACTCTTGCCAAAGGAGGTATCATTGTATAAACTTATTGATATTTATGTAGAGGTTGTGTTTGCTTAAAAATAACCAATCATAATTAGAATAACTGACACTCTTTTCATGGAAAATAGCGCAAGTGTTTGTTTCTAGAAATTGGAGAACTTGAGGTTGAGTAAACCTTTCTTTGAATTTATAAATTATAGAGGATAAAGTTGATCAGAGGCATAATAAATTCCTTTGGCCTAAACCCAATATTTCATGTGATTTTTAGAATATGTAATGTTGATCACATATTGAGATGCCCATTAACACCCGGTGAAATTTTCCCTTCTAGATCTCAGGTTTACTAGTTAGATAAAGTTGGTTCCGCATGGTGACAATTAACAATCATATATTCATTTATATGGCCAATAGTCATGAAATTGGTATAATTAAGAAGTTGCGGAGTGTAATCACTACAAAATTTAGTTTCGGTTGATGACCGAGGCTGAATATTAATCGCCACATCAAACTTTATGTGGGGAAGAGTGGTTCTATTTTTGTAAAATGACGTTGGAGTGTGTTTGTAGGTGACACTCATTATAAAGTTTGGTTTTAGGTGGAAATTGAGATTTAATGTTAATCACATTATCATAATAATTTTTAATCGTGGCTTTATGAGAGTAACATAATTTGGGAGTGAACTCGTAAGGTTTTTGCTATTATTTGAGATCGAATGATTTTTTTTAACATTGTACTATCTCATCACACAAGAGTTCATAATTGTTCGCGTTGCATGAAAATGAGCAATATTTGGGTAATGATGCCATTCTTTACAAAGTAGAATTCAAGAATAGAGTTGAAGTATTTCTTTGAATTATCAGTTTTGCATTGGATTCTATTTTGTAAAGAATTCTACTTTGTTCTTTGAATTATCAGTTTTGCAATATTTGAGTTGAAGTATCCAAGAAGTAACTCTTTACCTGAATTTTGCATTGGAATTAAGTGAAAATCATATAATGGAAGGACTAAAAAATTTATGCAGTTTCAATATTTATTTTCATGAGGATTATCCAATAAGTTATTGTGTGATTATTAATAAAAGAGACAAATCATTTGCTTTGATTAATGATTTTCAAATTTGGTCCCTAAATTTCATTATGGATGATAGAGAAAGACTGTGAAGGTTTGTACCAAGACAAATGTTAGACATGACAAATATGTTTAGCCAATCGACAAGTTTCACACTGATAAAATTCTAATTTTTAATTAATAAAAAGATGAGGATACAACTTTGCAACATAATGAAAATTAGGATCACTTAAACGACAGTGTCATAATAAAACTCGACTCTCAATAGATTTGAAAACAATAGACTTAGGAACTTGGAGAGAAGATGGTGAATAAGACACCCGCGTGTTAAGAGATTGTTGAGCAGATATAAATCTTGATGCAATTCAATATTTTCAATCATCTTCCTCGAATCCACCTTCTAAAATTCACAAGAGTTGAAGTGATTTAGTAGCATAGCTCAAGTCATGTGTAATCTTGTTGATTTAAAGTAATTTGCAATCTAATTGAGGAACGTATAGCACGAGAGAGACCTGAATATTCTTGGAGATTTTCAATTCCCCTTCCAACAATCCTAGAGTGAGATCTATCGACAAGTCTAACAAATCTGGAGCAGACAAGCTTTTAGTAGCTGTTGAGAGCATGAATATCTCCAATCATGTGATCAGAAACACCTAAATCTATTATCCAAGTTTGAACTCTCCCATTGTTAACGAGATAGGAGGATGCTGATATGCTCCTCGGTTGTGCTCTAAAGAAGTTTCTTTGACACCTTCTGTTGTTTCTTAGTGAACTGACTAGGTACAGCTGACACTTCTTAAGAGGTAGTAGCATAGGCCTTGCGGTCTTCCTTTTTTTTTCTTTTGCCTCAATTTTCAATCTGCAGGTTTTCCATGTAGTTTCTAAAACTTGCCTTTTGTGAGATTAGGTTTCTTGTAGTGTTCATACCAGGGATGATTATTTTTTATCTTTGAGTTATTAGAAGAGTTGCGTGAGTATAAAATAGAACTTTTAGTGATAGATGAATTTACACTTCTTGCCATCATGTGCTTCTTCTTGCTTTCTTCTTTACAAACTTTAGCAAAAGCTTCCCTAGTGGTAGGGAGACGCTTCATCATATGATTCTTTCTTTGGCATCATTTAAATTTTTATTCAGACACAATAAGAGCTTGATCATCATCTTCTCTCCACTATTGTTTTTTTTACACATGGTATCTTGAGGATATTTACATACATATCTAATTGTAACCAATATCTGAGTAGTTGTTAAAATATTGAGTAACACTTAACTTTTTTTGGTCCGAACTCATGGAGTTCTATCTCCATCTCAAACAATTATGTAGTGTTTTATGTACTCAAATAAGTCTCACGAGCTGTTTCACAAATCCCTTGTGTTGTCCTTTAAAGTAAGTAATTTTCTCCAATTTATGTGCTCATAGGATTGATCAACCAAGACATGACCATATGATCATGGATCTTCCATGAGTGGTGGTTAGGATCAATGAGCTTAGGAACCGTGCCCTCTCCAGGAAGATGTTTTTTTCTTCCCTTTCATCAAATATACATAAACACGGATTGAGACCATCGAAGAAAGTTATGACCGTTGAGTTTATGGTTTGTGATAAAGGTACAGATTTCCAGGTTGGTTGGACAAAATTTGTGGCATTTGAGTCAGAACTAACCACCAAGGTAGAGCTAGACATCTTCATTCCATAAGATCTGTACTTTGTCATAGAACCTTTGCATGTTTTGGGCTAAAAAAACAATTGAATAGCGGCTGCTTGTCAGAGGGATGGTCTGTAGAAAAATTAGCTTTTGTAGGGAGAATTCTGACAGAGGGCTTGCAAGAAATCGGTGGAAAAAAGCAACTGTGGAGGGTTGGCAAGTGAGGGCTGTAGATGTGTGGTTGTTGGTCTTCGCACTCAGCTAGCCGTTGTTCCATGATCCAACAACTGAATGACGAGCACGACAGATGCATTCAAACCAATGAAGGTAGCAACAGAGGTTTTGGAACCTAGCGACAGATGCGATGGAAGCGTTCTATCCAAGGGAAGGTTGCGACAGAGGGTTTCAAACCAGCTACAAATGTGATCAAAGTGTTCAAACCAAGGGAAGGCTGCGACAGGGGCTTTTGAACCCAACAGATGTGATCGAAACATTTGAACCAAGGGAAGACAACGATAAAGGCTATCGAACCCTGCGGCAGATGCGATTGACCCAACGACAAAACATTCAAATTGGAAGCAAGACAACAACAAAAATTAGAGTTTAGTCTCTGATACCATGAAGGAAAACGTGAGAGAGAAAATTCTTTTTTTCCTTAATCTTCAAATGACAACTCCTCTCGTTATATAAAGAGTAAATTCTAGGGCAAACATCAACAACCACTTGAGAAAATAATTACAAACATAATAATAGATAAACAAATGAGGATAAATCTAAATAGGAAACACATAATTCCACATAAGGAATTTGTTAAAATAATCTCTGGCATTCTAAGACCAAATCGTTTTTTACCTTCACACCAAATTGGTTATATATAATGTCAAAGAAGTTTGGAAGGATATTGATTACATTGGACTTATGTTTAAGAAGGAAAACCCATGAGATTCCAATGCAATCACTCATGAAAGAAACAAACTACTAAGCTCATATAACATTGATAATTATAGAGGGACTCTATATATTAGTGTGAATCGAATAAAAAGTAAAGAACTATTATTACTAATTGAAAAAGAAACTCTTTTATGTTTGCAAATTCACATACATCACAATAAAATTCCTCTTAAACAAAGAAGGGAACATTATCTTTAAAGTAGTAAATTAAGGATGATCGAAATGAAAGTGCCGACACCAAATAATATATTTATCTGAAACAAATTAACAAGGCATGGAGAAAACATGATTGATAGTATGTATGTGACTTATATATCAATATATCAGAGGCCACCCTTTTCCCTAGCAAGCCACCTTTGCATAGTGGTTGAGAGCCTTGTCTTTCAACCAAGATGTCCTGGGCTCAAGGCCTTACATATGTGTTGTGTGTCCTTTTGGGGGTTTTTGTGAAAAAAAAAGTCCAATCTATTTTCCGAAACTTAATTATGAAATACACTATCGGATTGACAAAACAAGACATTATATTTTATATCATTAGTTTGTGAATAGACAAAAGATTAGCGAGTAATTTGACAACATTGAGTACATCTTTTAATAACAAGGACAAACTTGACTCAATGTGACAAACACCAGCGATTATGCTAATATAACCATTGACAAGAATAATTTTCCTATTGCTAGTGCAAGGTGAATATGCTGTAAAGTAGACCGAGGAAGGTGTTTTGTGATATTTGGCTCCTTGGTCAATGACCCAAGAGTTTTGTATGAATCGGTCTAAGGCATGTAATCCATAAGAACAAGACTTACTAGAGAGTGCTAATGAACAAGAGCCACGAGATTGCTCTAATGACCCTCATAAACTTTGAAGCTGCTCATTCTCAACTTGATTAAGAAAGCTGGGAGTAGTCACTATAGGAGTTTGTGGGACTAAATTTTGTAAAATGGGTTTGTGGTGGAGGCTTGATGAGCTTGATGCTAAATTTTTTTATCATCTCGTTGGCCCCATTCTCTGTTTGAAGTAGGATGTTTTCCATGTAACTTCCAAAAGCAATCCTTGGTATGCCTTTGTTTCTTACAATAGATGCACCGAAGATTATCTCGAGAGTCTTTTTGGGATGCCCCCGTTTTGTTGTATGATAATATAGAGGGAATGAATGCTTCTTTACCTTATGTTTGGCCTAATTTGGACGATAAAGAGGTTTTAGAGGAAATACTTATGTTATATGAGTGAAAGGTGTGGTGACTGTGAAAAATTAAGAAATAAGAAATGTTAGTTCGAGGATAAGGTAGGAGTAAAGCCAAGAAAATGTTTATGTCATAGCTGGATCATATAACACGAACATGAAAACAAATAGGAATTTGATTACCTTATGATTGATTATAGGTAAGATCTTTTGTTAATCACTCTAATAGGTTTCAAAGCCCTTTTTGTATGCGGAGTTTCCTATTCTATTTAATAAAAGCATACAATGATTTTTATCACTCACCATAAATAATAAGGCAAAAACTCCATTCTTCTATCATACAGTGGGAGATCAGCTTTGCGCCACTGCTAAAAAATGTGGTCATTTGAGTTTCTGTTGTTTGATATGAAGTGTACATTGGGTTGTTAATACTAATCATCAAAGTCGCATTTAATATTACTTTGAAACTTCAAGATCCAAAAGCTGTAATGCCTTTGTGTGGAGGTAAAATGGAAACTTACGCTAGTTTTTAATCTTCATAATCAAGAGTTTTTGCTTTGCGCTTATTTCAGGCTGAATGGCTATGGTTTATCCGTTTTGGCTTTGGCATTAGGTATAGAACAATCTTACAGTTTTTCCTGGTAAAATAGCCCTTAGAAAGATCTGCTTGTTAAATTAATGGGATTTGTTTGCCTGCAAGAGCAATTAATTTCCTTAAAATTTATTATTTAACATCTTTTAAGGTCAATGGAATATTTTTTATTGAAAAGATGGAATAAATTTCCATCGCTACTGTTGATGCGAAGCTCCTGAATTGTAAGCTAAGTTTAATATCTTATTGAGGTGCTTTGAGCGAACACAAGAACCATATTATGACTAGAGCAGATCAGACTAACAGGTTGGATTCTTGGTTGAAATTGATATTGATTAAGAAAAGCCAAATTCAAAAATGATAATGGACTAGGTCCAACCTCATCATCCTGTTGCTCAGAGATTAGAAGATTGGTCACATGAGCCTTATCATTGCCTTGTAACAGGTCAATGTATGAATTGTTATTATTCTGATTGCCTGGTAATATGAATTTTGTCTTCTAGAAATTTATTCCATATATGTATATATATATTCAGTATTTATAGTAATCTTAGTTCCTATGTATTGAATTTGGATGAACAGCTTTTGATGGTTAAACTTGTTTCAGCTCCGGCCAGGGCATGTCTTCAATATCGAAGCTGGGAAGCAAGCTTTAAGGAACATAAATTCACTTGCTCTTTTTTCTAACATTGAGGTGAATCCAAGACCTGATGAAAAGAATGAAGGAGGAATTATAGTTGAAATTAAGCTCAAAGAGTTAGAACAGAAATCTGCTGAAGTTAGTACAGAGTGGAATATTGTACCTGGGCGTAATGGGCGACCAACATTGGTAATCTAGATGCCTAATTTATGTTTTTCATGTTTTAAAAGTGATTTTTTTTTTTTTTTTGTATTCTTCTCTGCTCTGTTGGCATACTAAAAAGTCTACTATTGTACGGTTTGAGTGATGAAGTGTTCTTTCTTATATCTGAATGTTTGTAATTTTAGGCATCTCTTCAACCTGGTGGAACAGTGACCTTTGAGCATAGGAACATCAAAGGGCTTAATAGATCCATAATAGGTTCTGTAACATCGAGCAATCTTCTAAATCCTCAGGTATAATATCATGTTTACTCAGATTATGGATGTTTTATTTCAATTAATTTCTGTTTGTAGAACTTTATATTTTATCATTTCATGTGATTGGAAAACTAGAATACACTGTTTCATGTATTTTGTTCATGTTTTTGTTTATTCGAGTAAAGGGTGTGCTGGAACGCCTTTGTTTGACTGTTTATTTCACATGACACAAAGAGAAGAATATTCAGGCATGGATACCGTTAATGATACTGGTTTTAACCAAACAACAACGAGAAATGCAAATTTTATTATGAAATTAAATAATGATTACAACCAAGCGGAAAATAGGAAATAACTAAAGACACGACACAACTCAAACTTGGGCGCAGGTAGAGTGTGGTAGTGGTGTTGCGGTTGGTGGGGAAGTAGCAGGAAGGGGGGGGGGGTGGCTGATTGAGAAGGGGAGAATAGGGGCTGCAGGACCTGTGGTCAGGGAGGGAGTGGGTAGGTTGGTGGCTGTTGGCTAAGGAGGGGAGAGCCGTCTAGACAGTGCGGCTGGTTGCTGGAAGCAGCTGGGTGCGGCCTGCTGGTCAGCAAACAACAGGTACGGTTCAATGGAGCAGGTGAAGGGGAAGAAACACAGTACGCTGCTGTTGTCGAAGGGGTGGCAGCAGAGATGTAACAATGAGGGTAGAGGGATTCGGTGCGAGAAGGGATGAGAAAGGGTATAGAGAAGATAAACACTACCTGGAGACCAAAAAACAACTAAAGCACCACCTAGAACCCTAGGATATAAGCATCAAAGGGGAGAAGAGACGCTAGTGGCTGTCCCGATATAAAACACACAAAAACTAACCGTAAACACCAAGAAAACAACATATATAGTACTAGGTAATAAGAAGGGGCCTTACTCTTCTAAGGTGATGACCCTGAACCTCTAGGAGTGCTGGTGGACCCCTCTTTTCCCCGAGCTGAACGGTTGAGCCCTCAAATGGACAGTGGCCTGCATCTGGTTCGGTGTAGGGGGCTCATGTTTCATCAGTCTTTGACCTCATCCGTTGAAACTTTTGTGCCCTCATAGTATGGAGTCAAGTTTGCTACGTTGAAGATGACAAATTGTAATCCCCTGGTAGATCGATGTTGTTGGCATTGTCATTCAACTTCTTGAAGATCCTGAAAGATCAACTTGCTCTGGGCTTGAGTTTTTCGAAAAGTATCATGGGAATCCTTTCTTTCTTCAACCCGATTCACACTAGATCTCACTTCTGAAAGGTCACTTCTTGAATTTATTAGCTTGAGCCTGGTACTCGAGGTTTTGTTTGGTAATCTCTTTCCCAACCTTCTCATGGCCTCTGAATCTCCTGTACCGGCGACTCAACTTCCACACTAAACCTCCGAAGTAAGAAGAAGGGGTACCAACTCAAATGGAGTGAGTAGGTTGTGCCCGTACATGATCTTAAAAGGGGTGAATTCCGTAGTCTGGCTCACGGGTCTCTTGAAGGCAAATTCAGCTTGGGCAAGAATTAGATCTCACTGCTTGTTCTTCCCTATAAAGCACCTTGGGAGATTTCTCATACTCCTGTTCAACACCTTTGTCTGATCGTTTGTTTGTGGACGCGCTGCGGAGCAAAATTAAAGCTTTATACCAAATTTTACTCATAGGATCCTCTAAAAGTGACTCAAAAACTTGAAATCCCAATCAGAGGTAACAATCCTAGGTATCTTGTGTAGCCTCATAATCTCCCTGAAGTGCATTTCAACTATGTGTGTGTAGCTACAGTACGGAGACAAGCCACGAAATGAACCATCTTCGAGAACCTATCGTCCACGAGCATCACTGAATCCTTGCACCATTGTTTCCTCAGATGAAATCCATGCTAACATCTATTTTAGGAGTCTCTAGTAATGGTGTGTACAATTCTATATTTGGCTATTTGATTTTGTCCAGATGACAAACTCTACACTGTCTGAGCCTCGGTGTATTGCTCCAATCTCTCATCAGTTTGGGCTAGAAAAAATGTTACCTAATAAGGGCGATGCTCCTGTCTTTGCTAAAATGACCGACTAATCCCCTGTTGTGACTCTCCTATATGATTGACTCTCTCAAGGAATATCTGAGAATACACAATTTATTATGGTGGAGCGGGTGGTCATCAACTATGTGGTAGTTCTGTCTACCTCTGCTAACACTGCTCGCAGATCTCTCTGAAATTATCATTTGCCTTGTACAACTCCTTCACCACCAACTGTAGCTTGCATTAAGGTGATCAACAAGTGTCGACGACTCAAGGCATCAAAAACTTGATTATGACTTCTTGCCTTGTACATGAGCACAAACTGGAATGACGGCCAGAACTCAACCTAGTAAGCATACTTGCCTTGCCCTTCGACTTTCTCTGACTGTTCAAGAACCTCAGAGCCTTGTGATGTGTGAATAAGATGAATTCGCTCATTAATAGGTAGTAAGTCCAGTGACTTCAGTTGTTAAGAGCTCTCACAATAACATAAAACTCTTCGTACAAGAACTCAGCCTAGTAAACATACATGCCTTGCCCTTCAGCTCTCTCTGACTGTTCAAGAACCTCAGAGCCTTGTGATTTGTGAATAGGGTGAATTCGCTCGTCAATAGGTAGTAAATCCAGTTACTTCAGTGGTTAAGAGCCATCACAATAACATAAAATTCTTTCGTATGTCGAATATTTTCTCCTTAACTCATCACTAAAGAAGGCTACGACGTGCCTTCCATGGCTCAATACTGGTCCGATCTTCACATTTGAGGCATCACACTCTACCTTAAAAAGCTGGTTAAAATATGATAAAACTAATACTGAGCTCGAGTCACCTACTCCTTCAAAGTTTTAAAGTTGGACAGAGCTGCTTCCCTTTTCTCCTTTCAAGAGCTCTGTCAGGGGTGCTTTTCAGTGCTGAAGCTCTTGATCAACCTCCTATAAAAGGATGCCAACCTCAAACACTGCCTCAACTTGGTAAAGGTCTGTGGGGGTGTCCAACTCACGATCACCTTTATCTTCATAGGATCCTCAAGAAGACGAATGACCACGTATAAGATCTACCTATTAGGGGGTTACAATATTTATGTTATTTTCAATATAGTGGATCTAACTCCGTGCAACTAAGAACTATAAGATTCGAAGAATGAGATGGAAACTCCTCAACCTCGGAGGACAGACGTGGGGCTTGCCTAGGCTAAACCGACTGGGTAGGCTGAACCGGTTCGACTTAGTGATGCAGGAGGTCGATCGACCCTTTGCCTGAGTTAGTATTGCCACTCAAGAGGGAGGTTCTCCCTCCCTCCTAGTTATCTAGGGTTCAATTTTTTGCTGCTGTCCGCATCTTTTTCCTTGCTAGGGCTATATACGAGGACAGGTGGTGCTCCGATTGTATCCTAATTCAGGGTGGTGATTACCTCCACATACTCCCTTCCCCTTTCCTTTGCCTGCTTATTGCCGCCCTTACTGTGCATCACACTTGCTGGCGCCTCTCCTCCCGAAACCGTTTTATTGTTGTCGCCGCCCCTCTTGCACTTTCTTTACTGCCACCACTCTTCTTACAACCCTCTTGCTTACAACCGCCACGTCTTTGCGCCGTTCCATTGATGTCTACACCCTTCCTACACCGCTCCAGCTTGTCGTGACCTTTCCCAAGCCAACCCGCCGTTGTTCCACCGATTGTCCTTCCTTACCCCATCAGGATATTTGTGTTGTGTTGTGTTTTCTTTCTGTTTCAATGTCTTGATTGTAATCCTGCTGTTTTGTGTAATAAAATTTGCTTACCCTTTTGTTTTTTTGGGTTATTTTGGGCATCAATAACTTTTTGAAATATTTACATACATACCACACACTTCTTATGTATTTACATATCTAACACCTAAACTTCAATTCTTGCATGCCACCCTAACTATGCAAGGTATATATCATTTTTTAACAGTTGAAATGGTGGTACCTTTGGCGTGATATGAAAGATTTTGGTGGTAGAAAAGTAAAAAAATAAATTATAGTTGTTAGATATGTAAATACATAGGAATTGTGTGTTATCTATGTATGCCCCCAACTTTTTCTACTTTCTCAACCAACTCTTTTCCCGAAGAAGTTTAATATTTTTCTAAATGCAAGTAATATGTGCATAGATGATTCAAAATCACCTCTGTTTTGGACTCTTAAGAATTAAGATTGCAGTCGTTTTATGATAAATTTATTTACTGTTAATGACATTTTCATAATAACTACTTATATTTTTGTATCATTTTATTGATAATTGTATTTTGTTGATTGTCTAGGATGATCTGTCTTTCAAGTTTGATTATGTACATCCCTATGTAGATGGGGTGACCAACCCGCGCAACCGGACGTTTCGTGCTAGCTGCTTTAACAGCAGAAAGATGAGTCCAGTCTTCACTGGTGGGCCTGGAGTGGATGAAGTTCCTCCAGTCTGGATCGACCGAGTCGGGTTCAAGGCTAATATAAGTGAGGTCAGACCTAAAAAAATGCTTCTTTTTGTAAATTTTTTTGGAAAATTTTCATACATACCACTCAATCCTTATGTATTTATATATTTAACACCTAAAATTCAATTTTACATACCCATGCATGAAAATGTATTTCACTTTTTAAGATTTAAAATGGGGGTATTTTTTATGTAATATGAAAGATCTGGGTGGTATAAATATAAAAATCAATGTTTAGGTGTTAGATATGTAAATAAATAAGAATTGGGTGGTATTTATGTAAATGACCTTTTTTATTCTTATTTTGGAAGATTTACATACATACAACTCAATTCCTATATATTTATACATGTAAAAAAGCTTAGTTTAGGTGTCAGATATGTAAATACATAGGAATTGGGTGATATGTTTGTAAATGCCCTTTTTATTTTTAAATGTGTGAAATTTCGTTTTTGATTACTTTGAAGTAATAATTTTCGTGCGCTTTGTAGAGCTTCACACGTCAAAGCAAGTTCACTTATGGATTAGTGATGGAGGAGATAACAACTCGTGATGAAACAAGTAGCATTTGTACTCATGGTGCCAGGCCTTTACCGAGCGGCGGCTTGAGCATGGATGGACCTCCCACCACGCTCAGCGGCACTGGTGTCGACCGCATGGCATTTGCGCAAGCGAATATTACACGTGACAACACAAAATTTGTAAATGGCGCTGTTATTGGTGAGCGGAATGTGTTTCAGGTGAGTTACATCTATCAATTGCAAAAGGATTTGCTATTGATACATATCATAAGTTGTGTTCCATAGATGGAAGCTTTACATATATACAACCCAATTCTTATGTGTTTACATATCTAAATCCCAAACTTTAATATTTATATTTATACCACCCAACATATGCATGAAAATATGTATTTCATTTTTTAAAAGTAAGAGCGGTAGTAATTTTGGCGTTATATGAATGATTTGAGTGGTATAAATTTTCAAAAGTAAATTTTAGGTGTTAGACATTTAAATTCATATGACTTTGATGTTATGCATGTAAATGGCCAGTAGATTTAGTCGCTTGTTAACTTGAGCTGTTTAATTTATAAAAGGGTATCATCTTATGTTTGTGTCGAAAGAATTTGAGCTATAATTTGATACGTATCGACATCAAAATCATCGAACAAACTACTATGAAACGACAATAGATAGGTGGAAAAAACACAAAAAAGGACTGCTTTTACAAAAAAAATCAAAAGAAAACAATTAAGATACAAGGCTGATCTACTATTCGAGGCGTAGATCGTCTCTCCTACATCATAGACGTTGCTAGGAGCACCAAAAGAAGAAATAAAATAACAACCACAACAAAATATGCATAAAGAAAGCAACCCTAAGTTATTCCCCTCAATAGAATCCCTTCACAGTATTTCAAAGATTTTCCTTTCCAACTTTCCTTCCAAACTTCTTTAATATGTGATTATGGCCCTAGTGGACCTCACCCTCTCTTGATTTGCTTCTGCGGCTAGCCTTGCCCGCTTTGCTCTTTCACGCTTCACAGATCAGTCCACCTGCGACCGATTGAGTCTTTTCCGGCCGATCCAGCGTGAGTCGGTGTGATTCTGGATGTAATATTACTCCCCTCCCAATAAAGTACATTGTCCTCAAGGTGGAATGATGGAAACCGCTTGCGGATCACCTCGTAAGAATCCCATGTTGCTTCATAGTCCGATATCCCTTTCCACTTAACCAATACCTCCTTTGCTCCCTTTACTCCCTGGCGCACTCTTCGATCTCTAGCGGCTCTAGAATTACCTCCAAGTCCCCGTCAGTAGTAGTGTAAACATGGATGTATGATCTCCAAGGGATGTATGATCTCCAATCGCACGTCTCAGTTGTGATTGGATGTATGATCTCCAATCGCACTTCTCAGTTGTGATTCATGAAAGGCCGAGTGTTGTGCGAGTGATGATGGTTACTTCAAACGGTAGGCCACAACCCCAATGCGCATCATCACCTCATAAGACCCAAAGTATTGTAGCGACAGTTTCTCGCTTCTCCTACTGACCAATTTCTTCTGTCGGTAGAGCCTTTGTTTCAAGTAGATCATGTCTCCTAGTTCAAACTGCACCTCATTCTTGTCTCTGTCAGTCTTCCTCTTCATGATTTGCTGAGCTCTCAAAAAATGCCCTTTGAGCTCTACTAGTATTCTGCCCCTCTCCTCGAAGTACTGATCGACATTGGATAACGGTGTGGTACTATGCACATAATATATCAAGCAAGGTGGATCCCACCCATACAATACCTTGAAAGGGGTTGCCTGTGCTGCGGTGTGGTACGAAGTGTATACCAATATTCAATTCATGCAATCCACTTAGCCCATAGTTTCTGTGTATTAGATATAAAACAACAAAGGTGTGTTTCTACACTCTAGTGGACCACCTTCGTCTGCCCATCGGTCTGGAGATGATATGCGGTGCTTTTTTTAATGACTGTCCCTTGCAACCTGAATAGCTCATTCCAGAAGTGGCTGAGGAACATGTTGCCCCTAATCAATATAATCTATTCCAACACCTCGTGCAGATGGACCAATTCTCGGATAAACTTCATCGCGACTGAGACTGCAGTGCTGGGAAGTCGTAAGGAATGAAATGTGCATACTTAGGCGATCCACGACCACCATGATCATCGTAAACTCTTCTGACCGTGGGAACCTCTTGATAAATCCATCATCACTTCTCCCCTTGCCTTCCCCGACAATACTAATAGTAGTAGTAACCCTCCTGATGTCGTGGTCAAGTCTTGTGTCGCTGACACATCACATTTTGCTACCATGTTATCGTCTCTATGCATTCCTATCCAATACTCTTGAGTGTCCTCCAATTGCACTGTCATGAAACTCTTGTAATAATCTGAGAATTTACTTCGACGATTTGGGTAGCACGAATCATCCTTGGTGGAGTATTTATTGTCTCCTTAATGCATATCCTGGATAACTGTTTGGATCATGTAGTAACTCGACTCTTATCTTCCTCAGCTTCTCATCCCAGTTGCTCTTCTGTCTCAAGTCTTCCCAATCTAGGACCAAGGGTACCGATAGACCCGTCAATTGGGGTTCCTCCACCTTTCTCAACAGTGCGTTAGCTGCCTTGTTCTTCAATTCTGACCGGTACTGAATCTCAAAATCCTACCCCAGTAGCTTGGATAACCATCTTTATTGCTTCTTAGTCACCATTCGCTGCTCCAAAAGATACTTTAAAATTCTCTGATCTGTCCTGACCAAAGAATGTCGTCCCAACAGGTAAAACTGCTACTTATGAATGACCAAAATAATTGTCATCAATTCTCGTTCATATACTTACTTTACCCTCATTTTGGTCGTCAAAACATGACTGAATTAGGCAATCGGTCGCTGATCCTGCATGAGCACTATTCCCAATCCATAACTTGACACATCCATCTCTAGAAATTTGAAAGTGCTAATATCGGTACATTAGTCATGATACTCTTTAGATGTTCAAATGTCTGTGTTGTTGCTTCCCCCATTTGAAATTGTCTTTCTTCAACTGTTCCGACAATGTCCATGCTATTTTGTCATATCCTCTCATGAACTTTCAGTAGTAACCGGTGAGACCCAGGAATTCTCTCAACTCCACCACTCTTCGGTAAGGGCCAATCAACCATAGCCTCCATCTTGGATTGATCCATTGCTACCCCCGTTCTGGTCACCCAATGTTCTGAGTGCACCTGTAACTGTGCAAAAGAACATTTTTTTCAAGTTGACATACAATTGGTGCTCTCTCAATGTCTCCAGGGTTGTCCTTAAGTGCCCTACATGCTCTGTCTCTGTATGACTGTAGAACAAAATGTCATCAAAGAAAGTCAGGATAAATTTCTAGAGATAATGTTAAAAAATCCTATTCATGAGGGATTGAAATGTCGGGGGCGTTGATGAAACCAAACGACACCACTAAGAACTCATAATGTCCTTCATGTGTCCTGAATGCTGCCTTGTGCACATCCGTTGAATTCATCCTGATCTGGTGGTTCCCTGACTTAAGATCAATTTTTGTGAAAATGACTGTCCCGTAAAGCTCATCTAGTAACTCATCAATCATAGGAATTGGAAACTTGTCCAACATAAGTTCCTTATTCAAAGCCATGCAGTCCACGCAGAATCTCCAACTATCATCTTTTTTCTTCACCAGCAGACGAGACTGGAAAAATGACACGCTAGGTCTGATAATCCCAGCCTCGAGCATTTCTCGGATCAGCTTCTTTTTCTCATCCTTCTGAATCTGGGGGTATCTGTATGGTCTGACGCTGATGGGAGAAACACTCTCCTTCAATGTAATAACGTGCTCGTGCCTCTCGGAGGAGGTAACTCGTTTGGCTGTTGCAAGACATTTGTAAACTGTTGTAGGACTCCATTCAGACATTATGTTAAATCTGAATCTTGAATCTCCTCAATGCTCTGCAACTCCACCAAGTAGCCCTGTCATGCTCCCCGAATCTGCTTGACCATGGTTTTGAGTGACACCATGATTTTGCATAAACTTGCATCTTCTTTCAGCATCACATTTCTATTCTCCACTTGGAACTCCGCCGTCAAGGACTTTTATTCTACCTTCATCTCCCCTAATGTTCACAACCACTTCATCCACAAAATCACACATGTGCTGCCTAAATCTGAAGGTAGGAAGTCTTCCACTACCTGTAGGTCATGTAGTGTCAGAACCAACCTCTTGCAAATTCCCAGACTTTTCTCCACCTTCCTTGTCCTCATCATGACACTAAAACTCCTTGTAGTCACTAGCTTCAGCCCTAACTTTTCCACAATCTGATTTGAGATAAAGTTATGGTGACCCCGCTATTCACCAACACCACAATCGGTTGTTTCACGATCCATCCCCTTACCTTAATGGTGTGATTTGGGGTAAATTCCATCATCGAATTGAGGGACATCTCTGTCGCATCCAAATGCAGATGTTCTTTCTCCACTGCTTCCTCTTATGATTCCCCACTCTCTGTATCCTCCTCCCGAACTAAAAGAACATGAAGGGCGCGCTCCTTGCAACGATGTCCTGGGGGGTAGTTATTATCACAATGTAATACAATCCTTTGGCTCTTTTGTTTTGCACTTCTGCATCTGGAGACACTTGAAATTACACCCGAGTCGGGATCCTGTACTCTTCTCCTTCGACGTATCTTTCTGAAATTAAGCTTAGTGTCGTGGCTGCCACGACGCTATTGTAGAATCCCCCAGTGTTGCCACCTCTACCGGTCTTCTTCACTTGTTTCTTATCCTTTATTTGGGCGAGCTCTATCGTTTCCTTCAATCCACGCCGTCTCAAGGGGTGAATGACTGCTCTTATGTCGGGCTTTAGGCCTTTCAAGAAATTTCCTTCAAGTCCCGTTGTAGAAATTCCCGTCAACCTCCCTAATAAGAGATCAAACTTCTCTTGGTATTTTCTAACCGTCCCCTTCTGAGTTAGAGCATGGAATTGCAGTGTTGGTCTCCTTCCCGAAAGGCTTGGAAAAGTTCCAACAAGCAATCCTTAAACTCCTCCCATGAGTGCATTGGATGCCTTGCTTCTATCCATTTGGATCACACTGAAGTCTTCCCCTCCAAGCATAATCCCGCTGCCATGAGCTTCTCTTCTTCAGTCAACTTGTTGATTGCAAAGTATCGCTCTACTCGATACACCCGTCCATGTGCATCCTCCCATTCGAACATTGGCATATTCAGTTTCCCGACCCTTGCATCTGCACCCCAACCTCCTCTTTCTCCGGTATTTACCCCCATGTATTTAGGTGAAACTCCCTCCTTTGATCATAGGTAGATCCCACTTTCTATTTCCTCCTTCCTCTATCGTGCTCTTCCGTGCCCCTTCGACCATTCCTTCTCCAATTTTTAGCCCATGCCCCTTGATCGGAAGTCTCCACTCTCCCTCCTCTCAGAGTTCTAGGGGGACGCTTTTATAGGTACATGATGTCTTCTTCGTCGTCTTCTCGCTCGATCTCCTTCCCTTTTGACCTGGCCAAGGTTCAATGATCAACTCATGGTTAGGGTTTGCAACTGGAGCGGTCGACACAGTATTGCATCTTTGTGAGCTTTTTTATCATCTCCCGCATTTCTCCCGTGCCTTCAAATCCATCATTCATTCGACTTTCAATAGAAGAAAATTTTTCCTCCATGGTAGCGAACATTTCTTCTATTCCCGATCGGATTTGCTCTACCTCTTCTTCTAGCACATCAACTTTCTTTGCTGCCATTCCACCAAGATTTATGCTCTGGTACTAATTTGATATGTCTCGTCACCAAAACCAACGAACAAACCACTACGAAATGACAATAGATAGGTGGAAGAAACACAAACAAGGGCTGCTCTTACAAAGATCAAAGAAAAACAAACAAGATGCAGTGTTGATCTACTATTCAAGAGATAGATCGTCTCTCTCACACCCTAGACGTCACTAGTAGCATCACAAGAAGAAAAAAAACAACAGCCACAACAAAATATGCATAAAGAAAACAACCCTAGATTATTCCCCTTAATAGAATCCCTTTGCAATCTTTCAAAAAAACTTTTCTTCCCAAATTGTCCTTCAAACTCCTTTAATTTCTCATCCTTAAATATGTGATTATCACCCCTCTCCTGATTTATTTCTGCGGCCCCCACCCTCTCTTGATCCGCTTCTGCGGCCAGTCTTGCCCGCTTCGCCTTTCACGCTGCACAGACCAGACCGGCCCGCCTGAAGGCTAGTTGAGTTGAGTCTTTTCCAGCCGGTTCAAGGTGGACTGGCGTGATTCTGGGAGGAACATAATTCTCTATAATTAAATCATAATAAAATCTGCAACAACTCAATTCGGATTCAGCATGTTTGTGTGTTGATGTTATTTTTCTATTTTTCTACTTTTTTATTTTTTATTACTCTTGGGTTTCATCTATTTTTCAATATAAACTAGATGCTTTTACATACATGTTTACATATCTAACACCTAAACTTTGCTTTTTTTACATTTACATCACCCAAATCTTTCCTATCACGTAAAAAATACTACAATTTTAACTTTTAACATGTAAGTTACTCATTTTCATGCATAGATAAGGTGACATATATGTAAAAATTGAAGTTTAGGTGTCTGATATGCAAATACATAAGAATGGAGTGGTGTATATGTAAATCTTTATATAAACTAATTCCTGCAGCCACTCATGTTTTCAGGCAAATAAACTAGAAAGATTGAGAACTACTGCTGTGATTGTGAAAAACTTATGGGATGTTTGATTTCATAGTCATAGCTTTATGTGAAAGGGGCATTTACATACATACTACACAATTCTTATGCATGTACATATCTAATACCTAAACATTCATCCTTACATGCATACCACTCAAATTTTTAACGTCGCATCAAAAATACCATCATCCGCATTTTTTTAAAGTAAAATACACTTTTTTATGCATATTATTAACGTCGCATCAAAAATACCATCATCCGTATTTTTTTAAAGTAAAATACACTTTTTTATGCATATGTTCATGACACCAAGGTGTTATATGTATAAATATCAAAACTTTGGATGTTAAATATGTAAATACGGAAGAATTGTATGGCATGCATCTAGAATTCCTTATATGAAAATACCTGCTTTCTAACACCATTCTTTTTCATGGATTACTTGATAGTTGGATCAAGGCCTTGGGATCGGCAGCAACTTTCCATTCTTCAACCGTCACCAACTAACCTTAACTCGCTTCATTCAACTAAAACAAGTAGAAGAAGGAGCCGGAAAACCTCCGCCACCTGTTCTCGTCCTTCACGGACATTACGGTGGCTGCATCGGTGATCTGCCGAGCTACGATGCTTTCACCCTCGGCGGACCGTACTCCGTGAGAGGTTACAACATGGGGGAACTCGGCGCCAGTCGAAACATTCTAGAGGTATTTCTCTGACTCTTGGGGTTATTTTAGTTCCAAGTTTTATAAAAATATCAATTTAGTCCTCAAACTCTTTTAATACAGGTTGAAATAGTTATACTATTTTAGCTCTAGTTGAAAATCTGGGGACTAATTTAGCACTTTTTAGATAAAAAGGCGAAAATCAAGGGACTATTTTGTCATTTTACACTTATACTGAAACTTGCATTTTAGACACTAGAAGGCTTAAATTTGTATTTCTGTAGGTTGCTGCTGAGTTGAGGATTCCTGTGAGGAATACTCATGTGTACACATTTGTGGAGCATGGAAATGATCTCGGAAGCTCGAAGGACTTGAAGGGGAATCCGACGGAGTTCTTTCGACGCGTCGGACATGGGTCGTCGTATGGTGTGGGTGCGAAGCTGGGGCTGGTGAGAATGGAGTATGCAGTTGATCATAATTCAGGAACTGGAGCTGTGTTTTTTAGATTTGGTGAAAGATTTTAGGTGAGTGGTGAGTTAGTTTTGTTATTGAATTCTAGGCTGGATTTCATGCTTCAGAGATTTTTTTTTAATTATTATTTTTCAGTCATTTGTTCCCTGGTTCATAAGGATGATTAGCTTTTTTTTTTATTAGTGCAGGGAGAATTTTTTTGACATAATCTATTAATATGCTATTTTCTTAGGGGCAATTACATATATGGCACTGGCAACATTGTTAGTTATAAAACTAGTATCATCTTTCATTCATTTTTCAAATTCACTCTAACATTAAAATTCTTGATAAAACCCCAACTTGTATTTTTCATTTTTATCAAATTCTCAAAGCTATGATTGCGGCGCACGTGAATGTATTGGTTCGGTAGTTTAAAAATTCATATTGGTGTTAATTTTATAAAAAAAAAAGTGTTTCAAGTGCCATGTATGCAATTATCTCAGTATGGACTGAGGAATATAGAGTGATCCTGTGTTGAACACATGATTCTGTGATTTTTAAACGAAATTTGGGCTAGAATATCCAAAGGAATATAGATGTCCGCACGACCAATTACTGGCGGCCATGTCACTTGCCAATGATGTGTTTGCGTTTCACGTCCGTATTTCCTTTTCTTTTCCCTTTCTAGCCTAACAATCTTTCGCTCAACTTTGTTCATTCTTTTAATTTTTATTTTTTGTTAACGATCGTTCTTCATTGAAGGTATGCTTTGACTTTTATGTCTTTTTTCATCTTGATCAGGTGTGTTCGTCCTTTTTTTTGTTAGTTTGTTCATGTATGTGGACAGCGGTCCCCAGCCTGTTGATGAAATCGGTGAAGACAAGCCATCTAACTCTAGATTGTTTGTTTTGAACTGTTTTGTTGTAAAAAGAGATGACATGACAATCAGTTTCAAGAATGTCTTCTGATTTGCCGAGATAATGGATTTTTAATGAATTTTGAATGGACAACATTCACAACACCAACCGGATTATACGAATGATTGGTCGTGTCATTTGGATTAAAGAACGCGTCTGTCATTTTTCAAAGAAAAATGGATTTTAGTTTTAATAATTGTTCTGATTTTCTTGCAGTTTACATTGACGATATAATCATCTTTAGCAAGAATGAAAATGAGCATAAGGAACATTTGGAGAAGTTCCTTGCAATCGTTAAAGCAGGACTCGTGCTATCACCAATAAAAACGAAGATAGTTGTAAACGAGATAGAATTCCTTGGAGCAGTCATTAGGAAGAAAAAGATCAAGTTACAACCTCATATAATTAGGAAAATAACAGATTTTCCTAATGAAAAATTAAAAGAAAAGCAGGGTATGAGATCTTGGCTCGGAATTCTCAACTACGCTCGCAGTCACATTCTGAACCTTAGAGTTTTTCTTATCTCCCCATGGAGACAAAAGACTAAATGATCATGATTGGGAGCTTATCCGCAAAATAAAAGATTTGGTTCAGAAGCTTCCTGACCTGGAAATTCCTCTTTCAAACACATATATTATTCTTGAAACAGATGGTTGCATGGAAGGATGGGGTGGAGTATGTAAATGGAAGATGACAAAGAACGATCCTAGATCTTCAGAAAGAGTATGTGCTTATGCTAGTGGAAAATTCGCAACGATCAAATCTATAATCGATGCAGGAATTCATGCTTGCATGTGGATATAAGGCACATTAATTAAGTCCCCGTTTAGAAGAGTTTGAAGGTGAGGCGGAGGCAAAACCCCCACCATAATTCTTTGCAAACCTTGCTTAGCCAACCAATCAGTAGCAGAATTACATTCCCTATAAATGAAATCAACTTGTATAAACCAATTGTGCTTTTTTATATAATCTTGTATCATGTTAAGCAAACAAATGACATTCCAGAAAGGGGGTGTGATCTAATTGAAAATGTTAAAGAGTACCTTAGAGCTCGTCTCAATATGTAAAGTATGGTAATGAAAAAGAATTACAATATTTAATGCATTCCATAGAGAGTAACACTCCGCCTCCAGAGGTGACGAGGCATAAACCAGCGAGGTAAAATAACAAAGGCAGCTTCCCATAAAATTTCAAAAAATGCCACCCATCCCAGCAACAGTTAAAGTCCAACTCCCATCCACATTAACGGCCTGTTTGGTTCGGCTTGGAAAATGTTTCAGCTTTTCCTCATAAAATGGGGCAGCCTTCCAAACATTAAGATAAGTGTTCCACTCCCAACGATCATTAGATCGTGAAGTCTAATTAATATCAAAATACAAACCAACCAAGCACCAAACCACACGAGCAAAATAGCAATCAAAGAACAAATGAGAGGCAGATTCCTCATGACATTTGCAAAGATTACATCTTGAAGCCATACGTAAACCCTTTAACTTCAGAATATCATCAAAAGGCAAAAGCAATAAAAAATATCTCCAAAGAAAGAAGGATATAGAAGAAGACAATAAGACATTCCAAATATTAGAAGTCCATCGTCGAGGGGTGAAAACATGAAGTTTTTGATACAGTAGTTTAGTGATGGAAGCATTAGAGGTAAATTTCCATATAGGTTTATCTAATTTAGTAGCATCAATGGGTATTTTTTGAACTTGATCAGATTTATCCCCAATCAAAGACCTGAGCTTAATAACATCTCAAGCTCCATCTTTCCAACAATCAGTGACAAGCAAATTGTTATCCTGCAAAGGATGCGGGAAAGTAGAAAAATCTTCCATACCCCAATGATCAAACCAGAAGGATAAATTGCCGATGCCAACATCTTAATATATAATTTTTTTAGCAACAGGTCTAACATTTAGCAAAGATTTCCAAACCTTAGTATCCCCAACCTTCCAAGCAACATTAGATGGGTGGGAATTGTTACAATATTTTTTTATGGAGAAAACGAGCCCAAAGAGAAGTTCCCATATGAAATTTGAACAAGAGTTTATAAATACAAACCTTATCCCAAGTGCTCCAAATTTTATGTTGAGAGATACCAGACCATAGGAATCCGGACCACGGGAATTTATTAAAAAGCCTCTCCAAAGAAAATTGAGTACTTTTTTTCAGGTGCAAAACTTGAAGAGCATAAAGCGGGATGGTGTAAAGGACACTCTTAAGCAAAGTAAGCCTACTAACATTAGAAAGGAAGTTATTTCTCCAGTCATTAATCTTACCTTGATTTTATCAACAACTTCATCCATTTGAGTTTTCCTCTTTCTGCCCCGCAAAATATTAACCCCCAATTATTTAAGAGGGAGAGATGCCACCTGACATCCAGTGTAAGTAGCGGTCTAAGAAGTGTGAGTGGTGCTAACATGTTTGCTAAAAAATAACTAACATTTAGCCTTATTAAAAGTTAACCTAGGAGTATTCTAAAAGGTATTTAAGGTTCACATCAAAATTTTAAGTGCGGTTTTACTAGCATTCGAGAAAAGGATAGCGTCATCAGCGTAAGCAAGATGACTAAGCAAAAGCTTAGATCTATGAGTGAATTGAGTGTGAGGATGGAACAACTGCACTTGATTTAAAAGACAAGAGAAGTAATCAAAAGCAAGGATAAAAATAGTAGGTGAGAGAGGGTCACCTTGCTTAATACCCTTGAGGGAGGAAAAGAAACCATAGGATTTCCCATTCACAAGAACGCTATAATGATTTAATTTGAGCCATCTTTTGATGATAGCACAGAAATTCATAGAAAAACCACGGGCTCGAAGAATACTCAAAATAAAATCCCAACTAATAGTATCGAAAGCTTTTTTAATGTCAAGCTTGATAACCACATTCCCACCCCTACATTTCTTATCAAGGTCTTCAATAATTTTTTGAGCAAAGAGGATATTATCAGATATTTCCCTGCCATGAACAAAAGCAGACTGGTGCGGTGAGATGATGTTAGACAGATGAGGTTGTAAACGAGCAACAATAATCTTACTAATCACCTTAGAGAGAACAGAATTAAGAGAGATGGGTACCTTTAGGGATAAGCACAAGCCTTATTGAGATTAATACTCTTAAGCACAACAAGAACTTTAGCTTCAGTAGGAACATCAGTAAGCGAGAGGGAAGAGACATAATCCCTTTCCTCATTAAAGACATCCACATCAACAGGCAAAATCAAAGTCTGAAATTGGAATAAATGGTAAAATGTTGGACCGTACAATTGCTAATATCATCGGGATCAGAAAGGGTAACACCCTCAGAAGATTTAATTTTGAGGATAGTATTCATGTTATGCCTATATTTGATAGAAGCTAAAAAAAGGAAGTATTTTTAGCACCACAAGCAAAATAAATGTCATTAGCTTTTTGTTTAAGGAAAACTTCCTCTAAATCAATTGCTTCAATAAGGGAAGCATGAGCCTGAGCCACATCACTAGCCCATTGGGGTGTGCAACTAACATTAGATTCTAACAAATCAACCTTAGCCTGTGCATCAAGGACTTTGAGTGAACATTTCTAAAAACATGATAATTCATTTCCCACAAATGTATAACAACCTTTTTATGAAGTTTCCACAGCATGTACCAAGGATTTTCCATAGTATGAGACTGCCAAGAATGTTTAATAAGATTCAGGAAAGTGTCATGGGACGTCCAAATATTGAGGAACTTAAATTTTTATCAGGGGGAATGTTTACAAAAAGCAAGCGTAAGTAAAATAAAGCTATGATCAAAATTAGATGAGTTCAAGTGTTGGAATTTAGAAAAGGGGAAATAAGTGAAAAAGTGTTGGTTAGCAAGAAAAAAATCTAATCTTTGCAATAAGTGGCCACGATGTCAAGTGTGAAGGGAACCAGAGTATTCCTTATCATGCAAATCAACATCCGCCACCTTATCACAAAACCGATTGATAAGGGATGAGTCACATCCCCTACCACCTCTCTTCTAAGAGGGTTTCAATACCATGTTAAAGTCACCACCAACAAACCAGTTCTCATTAATCACCTCACTCATAAGCACAAGTTATCCCAAGGAAGAACCTTTTCAAGCAAAAGACAGCTAGCGTAGACAAAGGTAGCCCAGCCTTCAAAATTATCCATCTTGAAATTGGTAAGCACAAATTGGTCCTCATCCTCAACAATCGTCAAATTGACTTGTTGCTTCCAGAGGATCCAGATTTTATTATTTTTGTTACAAAAGTGATTGCAAAGAGAGAATTTTATGAAAATTTTGTCATGGTTCACGAAAACTGAATAAAGGCTCCTAACAAATATAAAAAGCTTATGAACCCTACATAAATGTTTTAGTCTATTAAGGGAGCTAGGGTTTGCCATTCCCTTAATATGCCAAATCAATATATTAAACATAGTGTCTCGAGCCCCCTTTCTAGAAGATCTAGGAGGGGTGCTAGAATGTTCGCCATCAGAGTGGTATATTCCACCACAAATAATGTTTTCACTATCAAGATGAAGGAGTTCATTTTTTCTTTTACACTTCTTTGTCCTCACCTTTTGAACCGACCATTCTGCCTCAAGCATACTAGTAGCAGCCAACACGGCATCAACAGGCTTTACGCTAAAATTCAAAGTGTTTAAGCAAACATTACTCGCATTACCTTCGTTATATAGTTTTTGACTTGCATATCTCGCCGACAACTACCATTTATATGAATATCATTAGTTATGGCAATAGAAATAACAACAATATCGGATATGAGAGCAATATTATCACAAGTGGTGGTAACCGTATCAATGGTATCATGAGACACTGAAGTGGCTTTAGTATCATTTAGAGGAGCAACACTATCCCTAGTGTTAACTGTATCACTAGTGTTAACCACATGGGTAACAACATTATCAGTAGTGACATTAAAGGAAAGCATAGGGGCAACATTATCAACAATATCAGTAGCAGTAGTGGCATGGGGAACATTGTCACTTATAGCAATATCAGTTAAAACAGAAGTAGCAACAATATCCCGTGTAGCAATATCAAAAATAATTGAACTAACATTTTCATGTGTAATCATATTAGGATCAGAATTGACGGGATTTACAATATCTTCAGTCCTAATGTGTTCCGTCTCCAGCGCTAGACCAGCATGGGTTCATTCAGCTCCTTGTTTTAAATGCGGATATAAACGATAGGAATTATCAATGATATGTCCAAACATATGGCAATGAGTGCAGTAAGGTGAGTGTCGTTTGATCTCAACTTTCTGCCAATAACCCTTATGTTCGGATCCAATCCAAATTTCATAAGAGAAAGGTAAGGTAATGTCCCGTTCAACTAAAATGCGAGCCTCTTAAGGCCTTGTAAGAAGGTAAGTGGGGCCATCCATTTTTTGTCTGAGCTGGCAAGGCTGCGCCATTTCTATTGCACTTTGGGCTGGATCCCTTAGTAGGTCTGGATCTTGAAAAGTGACTCATGTAGGTAGATTTTTGCTCCCATTGGTCCACCTTATCTGCTTTTGGGTGTACAATTTTTTTTTTCTTTAGAAGTTGCTATCAATTCAAAATGCTTTGTATTATCGCTCAATGGATCATTATTCGGTGAATCTTGAAATAAATTAATGTTTATCTTCTTCCTTGTTGTGTGTTTGGCTAATCCTCCCTTCCCATCTGATGGCTTTGCCATTGTCTTTCTTTCAGTTGGTGCCAAGAGCCTCCTCTCCCACTCCTAATTGATGACGGCAATCCTTACCTTTCTCCTATCTCTTTTCCTTGTGTAATTTTATTTTTTCATTGTGTTTATCTCTATTAGCACTGCATTTAGATAACAATGATTGGCTTTATTTTGTTATTTTAAAAACCTCAAAGTAGTGAAACGCTTTTAGCACTGCTGCTCTCTAACTCCCTTGATTGTTACGCTAACTCTTTCTCTTTCTCCATGCATTGTCCCATTCCATTAATTGCAGTAGTCTCACTTGAGGAGAAATTCAGGCCAATTCTATTGAGGTTGAGCGTGCGGATTAAGCGTTAGTAATCTTAGACATTGCGATATTTGGAGATGCCTATTCATTTTGACACAAATGAGGATCTCTTGCAGATCTATATATTTGAAAGGATTTGTACATTTGAGAGAATTATTTTAAGCTTTAAACTATTTTGTTTTATATAAAACAATGAATTTAAAAGTATTCATGCTATTCGAGAAATGAGATTCCAAATTGGGGTGTAATTGAGCGATACTGACTCATGAGCTGGCTTGAACTTGGCTCAATAGGAAGCTCGTAAGTTGAGCTTGATGAGCTAACAAACCAATCTCAAGTTAGCCTCGACTTGACTTCTTGGCTCTTGAACCAGTTGTTTAAAAAATAATTAATATAAAACATACTCAAAATATTTAAAATTGGAGAACTTATCTTTAAGTTATTAAAAATATTTTAAAAGTAAAGCCTCGTGGAAAGAAGGGGGGAAAGACCAATGGTGCTTGAAACGGAGCCACCATTACCCTTAAGAGTGTCCACAAAGGAATGATCCATAGGAATCTCGCAGGAGACCCTTAAGGATCGGTAACGCAAGAAAAAAAAAAACACATAAAATGAGAGAAAAGGGTAGATCTCACCAGCCGAAGATGGGGAGGGGACCTTCGAACACCGCCCAATAGCCTTGTCATCGAAAACGCCTCAGGATCCATGGGGATGCCGAAATCTCCAAACCCTAGCAGAGCAATCTTCCATTGTATGGGCTTTATATCAAGTTTATATATATATATATATATGGTATTTTTTGAACT